GGTTTTGTTAAAATTTAAAAAAAAAAATTCTAAAAAAAAATCAAACCGGGCCGGCCCGGTGTCCGGCCAACTCCAACACACTCCCTTCTTCAGGCATTTATCACGTACATCACTCTAATACACACTACGTACAATATTTTCTCTTTACATAGAGCCCTATATTAATATCACAGGTACATACGCATAGCATAGGTAGCCCTAACTCCAACACACTCCCTTCTTCAGGCATTTATCACGTACATCACTCTAATACACACTACGTACAATATTTTCTCTTTACATAGAGCCCTATATTAATATCACAGGTACATACGCATAGCATAGGTACATACGCATACATACACACACGTACACGCGCACGCATATATAAAAGCAAACTAGTTAAAAACAAGAAGAACACGCCCGCCGCTCACTTTTCACCTCCACGGTGAAGATCGTTGAAGTACGCTTGTGGGTTTCCCTCGAACCCAGACCTTGATGCACCCTTCACGCTCCAGGCGCCCTCATCATACCCTCACCCACCCGGAATTTACCACCTCCGGCAGATTTTCCTCCCCCCCTGATCCCCCCACCGCCGACCACGAGCAGCATACCCCCCTTTCCTCCTCCGCCGCCTCCTTTGCCGCCGCCCCCTCCGCCACCCTTGCCACCTCCCATATTGTCTATGCAATTAGCTAGCTAGCTGGTATGTAGAATGCTAGAGTGAGTTTGAGGCTTTGAGGGGGTGTAGTGGCATTTATGGACAGAATTTGATTGGTCACGTGAGTTTTGGGGATCAGGAAACTTCGTTTGCCACCGCCTCCTGTGCCACCCTTGCCACCTCGCATGTCTATGCAACTAGCTAGTACGTAATGCTAGAGTGAGTTTGAGGGGTGTAGTGGCATTTATGGGCAGAGTTTGGTCACGTGAGTTTCGCGGATCGGGAAATTTCGTTTCACGACTTGCAGCGAGGGGACTACGTACTGTCCTTTGGACCTTTTGAAACAAAATATCTGCTACAACCTCTTATTTAATTTTTTTTTTAAATATAAAAAATAAATACAGAGTAATAAAAGTAACAGTAGTAGTGTTGAGTAGGTTCAATTGTAGATCCAAGCCCCTGTTACATGGGAGTAGTAATTTTATGAGAACATCCCACGTAATGTGACTATTTATACTATAGATGGCTAGTTGGAGGGTCAGATCGAGAATTGTGATTATTCATCAATGATGTAAACCACTCTCCCTCCTATAGATATGTTTTTGATAGGGTCCCTACTAGTTCTAGTGATATGTATGGAGTTTTAGTCACTCCCTGTTTATGAACTATTTTTTATTAAGACTTTAGACCTCCTCATGTCTAAGCAAAGTAATTCCTTGTTATCTTGATCAGTATTGGGTTTTTTTTCTTATTATAGATATTGGTCCCTTAAACCTTCAATAGTTACATAATATTACCTCAGATTCTGAAAAATTACATATTAGTCCCCCAAATCCTATATGATCTTGCAAAATGATCCTTCAAGTTAAAAATCACATTGGATTCAAGAAAAATATTATGTCAAATCTAACGGTTGGAGGCAAAATGACCATTTACTGCTCAATTATGTTTCCCAACCTATTTCTTAACAAGTTTAAATTAATTACGCACTTAAAACCAAACCCACTTGAGTTCTTCTTCTCCAATGGTTAGTAAAGAGCCCTAACCCAAAGTTAAGTTTCACAAAGGTTTGAAACATCAAAGAGAGGAGCCATTTGGAGAATAGATCTAGGTCTAGGAGTTAACCCGACTATGACTAGAAATACTAATATAGGGACCATTTTTTGAAATCTTATATGATTTGAGGGACTAATATGTAATTATCAAGATTTGAGGGACCGATATGCAACTTGTTAGGAAATATACCGGGGCTACGCTAAACCCCTAAAACAGCAAGAAACACAGTATAGAGAAAAGTACACCAAAATTTACGAGGTTAGATAAACTTGCATACGTCCTCGGGAGCCACACAATTAATTTCTTAATAATCAAAGAAATTACAATGCAAGATCAGATTTCAAACTTGAGATCTCTCAATAAATACAAAAATTAATACTGTAACTACAATGAGGATCCCTCTTCTTAAATCCCCTCTTTTAATTCTCCCCTCAAAAATCAATGTGAGAGAGAGCTGGAGAAATAAATCACGAGAAGGAGAAGAAGCCGCCGCCGCCGCCAGGGAATCGCGAGAAGAAGAGAGGAGAAGCACCGAATCTTGTGCTTGGGGTTTCCCTTTTATAGGGAAACTCTAGCGACATGCTGGAGTTCTAAAACTGTAGCTCACAAAGATTGAAAAAGGAAAATTCTCTTAATATTTAGGGTTTGATGGTTATGAGGGGGCAACTCATTTAGAAAAATAAACTACCAACAAATAGAGAAGTTATGACCTACACCTTTTGATGTGACAAGTAGAATGAGTCTCATAATGTGGATATCTATTGATAGTTCATAGCAAAATGAGCTGTCATTTCATATCCATTTTTTTCTAATATATATAGTATGATTATTGTGAGTGATCTCGAGGGTCCAATGTAAAGATTTTTAGGACATTAATAAAACCCCCCTACTCATTGTCTTAACATTGTTAATGTTTCACATTAAAAGGAAAAAAAATTATTAATCTTTATTATTTTCACTAACCTGGACATCTTTTATGGTGGCGTTTGTAGAGATCTGTTGACGGAGTTTGGCCTTTCAGAGAGGCATGTTGCGATTGTTGAGTGCCTGTGGGCAAAGCACACCCATGATTTCTTATTGGCCACGCCTATTGAGGGATTGGGACAGCATATGACTCCAGGGGAGTACTAGGCCATCCTCAGGTACATGTTGTTGGTTCCTTTGTTCGTGGAGGGGACAATGTGTCCAGTTTGTCGTAGAACGCAGATGGATGCTTTTGGAGAGCATGCCATCTACTGTCAGAAGCAGCCGGGGTTCAAGTACAGACGCGACTTAGTCAGAGATGTCTTGTATGATATCCTCCAAAGAGCAGGGATCCCATCAAAGAAGGAAGCGCCGGTCAACTTTCCCACTCCTCCTGGAGAGGCTAGGAGCACACTTGTGTTGATCTTACAGGGGTGTCTCCGTTGTTGGTGTTTGGTAATGAAGATTTCAAGGTTGGGCATGCAGCGGATAGAGAAGCAGAGGCAAAGGTGGGCAAACATGATCAAGCTTGCAAGGACAACCACCACAGCTTCATCCCATTCGCTTTCGATACGTTTGGTTTCCTTGCCGCTGATGCGGTGGAGTTCCTCAGGAGGGTACAAAAATTCATGAATAAGAATATGGCGACAACAAGGTCTGCTGATTACGTGTTTCGTAGGTTGGGTTTTGCAATTCAGAAAGGATTAGCGGCGCAGCTTGTTGCCCGCTTGTCATCATCACGTGTAATATTTAGCAAATAAATTTTTAGAATTTGGTTAAAAAAACAAAAACAAAAACAAAAAAACAAACAAAAAAGGCTGATTCTGTAGTCTGCGGCTTAAATCTCCTATGCATCTTAGGGCCTGTTTGTTTGCACGGAAGTAATTGTGAAGTAGCTGAAGTAAAAGAAGTAGAGGCTACTTCTGCTACTTCCAAGCAAAAAAGTGTGTTTGGTTCTCTGAAAAACTTACTTCCAATACTTCCCTAAATGCTTATGTGGCGCCTACGTGTCATCCTTACTTCCAAAATATTTTTCCAATCCTCAATACTCAGAAGTAGCTCGGAAGTAGTTGAAATGCATATTAATTATGACATAAATAATTTTTTTTATTAATATTTCCTTTATTAGTTACTTCTAACAACTTTTCATTAATAAAATTACTTCCTAATAATATTTCCAAATGTTATTCAAACAAAAAAAGTAAATGAAGAGGAAGAAGATCTACTTCCATTACTTCTAAAAATATATGAAACAAACAAAATAAAATGCTATTTCCACTACTTCCTACTTCATAGCTTTGAAAGTTACTTCTATAACCTACTTCTTACTTCTAATACTTCCATTATCCAAACGGGCCCTAAGTGAGAACTTCATAGTATACAAATTGGAAGTCTCAAAGGGGAACGCATAGTTGAACGACTATCACTATAGGAAATACTTCTAATTTACTGCTGTTAATGAAATCATTAACTTCGAAAAACTTCATCTCTTATCTATCAATTGGTACAAGGAGACACATTATTAGCAAAAGTGGGAAACCGTACTATCAAGAACATTGGAAGCTCAGGGATCCTTTTCCAGTCTTTGGAGGTTAAATTTGACCGTTGTTTTGTCCCCCCAAGGCGAAGGAGAATACTGGTGGTCAACACGAACACTAGCATTACCATTGATGACGACACGTTTGCCTCGGTGCGTATTTTTTTAGGCATAAAGTAGTCGTCCCACTAAACTTCGTCAATCATGCTTTCCAAGGGATAAACCTATCGGTACGAAGAGGCGCAAGTAAGACAACACAAATATCTTGACCTGCCCGCTTTCGTCTCGGAAAGATCTCCTCCAAATCTTCATAGTGGCCTCAATTAAAAGTAAAATGTAGGCCCCAACTTTCTTATCTTCTCTAACTAAAAACGAGGAAAATTTTGATGTAATAGGAGTGGGACACCTCATCTGTCTCATATTTTGTGTCCCTGTAGCAAAGCCCAAAAACGAGGGAAAAGCAAAATCGAGCAAAAAAGTATCCCAACAGGTATCCTATGACTTGCACACCTAAGCGCACCTCAAGAATATAATTTCACCAGGAGCCAAAAAAGATTGATCAGCCAAATGCATGAAAGATCGGGGTAATAGTATTCTACACCTCCCACAATCAAAACACTACGCCGATTAAAATAATGACCTTGAGGCAATTAATAGAGGTGTTTTACCTAAAGATTAATATCCCTTGACCCCAAATAGGAGGACAGCTCACATATCCCTGGACCCCAATTTGGGGTCCCTGTTACTTGAAATTAAATCGACCCGTGGGTCTCATCGGTTATAATAATAGTTAAAGTCATTCCATAGTTACCAAAAAACACAATGTTTGCATCAAGGGGAAAAATCAGCAGTCCTTGCACTCAACTCTCAACAATCACTCACCCAAAAAAAAAAAAAAACAACCGTTGCTTTGATCAAGATCCTAACTCTACTAACAGGGTTTCAGGAAAGAAAAAAAAAGGATACCTAAAAGAAACGAACGAGACTAGGATTGGCAACATTCTTAATTAATTTTACAGATTTGCATAGAAACTAACCCCGTGAAGATCATATCCTCTGTTAGAAAAGAAATAAAAATTCGATCAAATCAGTTCCCTTGAGAGGGCTCGCCGGTCCAGTAGGTCTTGGTCGCGACGAGGATCTTCTCAGGATTGAAGGGCCCGCTCTCATGATCGCTGACATGACCTTTCCATCTCATTCCGTCCATCGCCTCCTTGATCTTGGTGAGCGCGTCCACCGTGTCTCGGAATATCACAGTCCCTTCCGGCCTCAATATCCGATCCATTTCTAGCAGGATGTGCACCACGTCACACCTGAAACAACAATTTCCATTTTAGTACTGAGGCCTTTCGTTTTGAAATTTTTTTTTTTTTTCCGACTCGGTTCTACATTTTAGAGGCTGAAGTTTGTCATGATCACTAACCTGACATATTACGAGCACATACATACTTCATCCTATTTTCTAGCTGAAATTTACATCGGTCATAATCTTAACTTCATGATAGTTTGCATTTTGTTCTAATTAATAGGGATAGAAAGACACTTCCGTCTTTGTCATTTTATCTTCAATTAAAAGATAAAAAATACTCGCGTGTTAAAACACGTACAATAGAACAAAGCTTATACCTGTCTTGGTAGAGGCTGAAAAGACCGTCGGCGTGGATAAGGTCGTAGGTTCTCGGATACGTCGAGACCGCTTCACACCAGTCTTGGTAGGTTCCGATGAACCCTCGCTCGTAAATGACACCGAGAGTGTTACGCTCCGAATGAGATGGGACCACGTTCATCACCCAAACCGGGAACTTAATGAGAGCTGCAGCAAACCCACCCAGGTTGGCGTTCATGTCCATCACGTTCCTGTACCTACCCTGAGTAAGCCCGGGGACGATCCTCTTGTAGTGTGAGATCCTCTCTTTCCACAGATTGTTGTCATCTTCGAACGTCTTGGCATCTACTCCTCGGATCGTACCCATGCTTATTCTTGGCGGCGTAGCGAATGCCCTCTCTGGCCACTTCCTGACCGCCCCCCCGGCGACCTCTTCTTCACTGTTTACCTCTGGTAATGGAGTTATGCACGCTTCCATTTTCGTGTACCTGCAGGATATATACATACGGTAAGCAATGCAACAGTAAGAAACCTCGACTCCTGGAACTGTTTCGTTCGTGCATTTGCTTGGGTGTGCGGTGGTTGTGGCCGTCGGGGGGCCTGGTTGTAATTAATTTCACATGCATAGGCCTCCTGAAGTTCTCTGTTTTGCACTTGTTACCACCTCTGTAGTTTCATTGCCGCAGATGGAACCCTGTTCTAATTTTTCTTTTTTCTTTTGACTCTTTTTTACTCTGGGTGAAATTTTGGTGGATGTTGTCCCTGGGTAGAATTAGTGATTACATCTGAACGTAAAAGGGTCAAAACTTTTTCCTTTTCAGGACTACTCAGAGCGTCTATCTACAACAATGAAAATGGACGGGCAGTAAGTTCAAAACAACGATAGTACAGTGGGTGTCCAATTGACCGAAATCTATATTTATGTTTCAGTACATACAAATTGAAGTGAGGAAGAAATTAAAACAATAAATAGAGCTATAATATAACATCGTCAAAGAGTACAAATGCAGAGTAAGAGGAAGCATGAGGAACAAAAAGATTCAGGATTGAGTCCTGAAGGGTACACGCAGGCTCTACGTATTTCGCTTTCGGGTTTTTTACCCTTTAGGGAACTACAGATTAAGTTACAATATTTCGAGTAGAAGTTACTGAGATTTTCAAGAACAAGTAACGAACTTCTGTGTGCTTCAATGATCAAGAATAGATTTCTACTTTTGACAAGCTAGCAAGTTGCCCACCGGAGTAGATAATACGATTCGGTAAAGGAACGAGTGCTGAGGTAAAAGTTGAAACTATTTCGATTACCCATAAAATGTTTTACTGAGAAAATGTAACATATGTATGCAACCAGGGGCGTAGCCAGGAAATTTTTTTGCCCTGGGCGAAAAATAAAGGGTTTCGGAGATGATGCAGTGAGGGAGTCGGAGATGATGCAGTCAGGATTTCAGTCGACAATGATGGGCTCGAGGAGAGGGCGGAAGAGGCAGAGGGAGCCGATGATGGGCTCGAGGAGAGGGCGGAAGAGGCGGAGGGAGCCGGTGAAGGTGTCGAAGAGGGAGGAGGGGATGGAGGAGAGATTCTCTTTGCCGAGGGGGAGGTGGGTCTTGTCGGGGGAGGGGACGGGGACAGTGACGATTGAGAGATTGGGGGAGGAGGTGAGGACGGTGGCGGCATTGGCGGGAGTGGTGACGAGGGTCGCGCGGACGCCGCAGGAGGAGAAAATGACGGCCATGTCGACCATCGGGATGAAGTGGCCTGGACTCATTAAGGGGAAGAAGAGGATGAGGAGGGGTTTCTCGGAATTTGAAGCCATAGTTAGACCGCATGATTATAAATCAAACCAGTTTAAAGATTTTTGTATGTTGTCCATACTTAATAGAAGAACAAGTAAAGATTTAAATCCTGCAGTCTAAAGATTTTATGGACAACATACAAAAACCTTAATGGGGGTATTATATATGTTAACTTTCTTGCCCTGGGCAGCTGCCCAGGGCAAGCTCTATGTGGCTCCGCCACTGTATGCAACCTAAAGTCACATGGAAATGGGTACGGGTACGGGTGTCGGAATTTGTAAGGGTACGGGACATGGGAAATTGTAAAAGGTACGATATAGAAACACGACTATATAAATAATTAGCCGGTACATATATTATGTATTAAAATTAAACATTTACATGAGATCAATATTGTTTTTTACTTACATGTTATGAAAATTAAAATTAATATAATATATTTATGTTTATTTATTGTGTGGATATAAATTGAAAAACCATCATTTTTGAACAAGACACCAAAATGTTCCTTTAAAGTAATAGATCGAAATCTAATCTCTGTCTAACGAGTTTTAAGAAGCGGATGTGAAGTGCAGGATATGCGTTCAAATAATGTATGAGAAGTGTTTAACTTAATATATATATTGAGTAGGTGAGTGCATGACTGAATAAATGTATTCATGTACGCAAGGAGGGTCTGAGGAGTTTGGGTTATGGATATTGGTACGGGTATGTGCCGGATACACGTACGACTTTAGTTAGGAGTACCCAGGTAACATAGTATGCAAGAGATGTCATCTTACCAGGCAGAATCAGCATTGTTGCTCCTGCACATGCGATCCTGTATGCTCTGAGAGCATTCAACGTGGTTTATAGGTTTCTGAAAAATAGCAAGATCTCCCTTTTCAATAACCTTCTTCCAGCATAGGCTCTTTGCTGCCTCTTCAATACCGTCTTGTTCTTGTTTCAGATCTTCTTGGGTTCTCTCCCAACCTTTGTAATACTTCTTCCAGTGGATCGGAGGACCAGAAAGAATCCAGTATCCTCCCGGTCTCAAAACTCTATCGACTTCAGTAAGGTACAAGGCATCTGAAAGATTAATGATTTTGAATAAAGTTATTCCAACTTAAATTTAAAAAACATGGGAGGGAAAAACAAGATGATAAGTAAACTGAACATCTTGAGCCTAGCCTATCTGATCAAAGGAGTATCTGCTATGACATACAATTCTCAGGCTTAAAGACTCGCGAAAACTAACAAAAAGGCAAAACAAAGAAAAATGCAAAGAATCCAATGTATGGACCTGCACCCATCCGTTAAGAAACCATGTACGTGGATTTCATTCGACACCAGGGAAATGATGGAGATACGGCATTCTAGAGAGGACATTAGATGATTTAAGTCACCCAAAAAACTGAAATACGTAGGTTCTTTGAAATTTGAGAGTTAAGATAATGCACCAGAGTTCGGCTCCTAAGGGGTCATAATGACATTGAAAGATTTGTTTGCTTACTATATGCTGCCCATGGAATCAAGCACCGTGAGCAATGAGCCATATCAAAAGCTCTAGCCGGATATGGAATCCTCTGTGTTGCCATTATACCGATCATCGCAGGAACTCCCCTCTCCAATGCAAACTGCACCTGAGCCTCATGTGTGTCTCTTGGTGCGAATGACATCGCCAAAATGTCCCTCTTCAACAAATAAGCTCCCCAACTCGCAACCTTCAGAGATTCAAACGCATAAACATGTTAAACAAAATTTAAATTTGTAATTAAACCTAGGATTAATTACGTTCAGGTACCCGGAGGTAGAGTCTGCGCATCAACTCTGGTAACCTTGTGAGATTACTCATTTGTAGTTAATTATGTGGCTAACCCTAGAGTCTGTTTACCTTTTCCCTTCCTTTACAATCGAGGGTTACCCGTGCAAAAACAATCGAGGGTTACTCGTGTAGATACGCAGACTGTTCACTCGTTGACGCGTAACTACAACGTACTTTATGGTATTTGAATGTAGTTAAAACCTAAAAAAGAAAGCATTCGGCGTGAGGAATGTCTCACCCCGCATCCAGTGTCAACAGCGGTTCTGATGCTCCCGTCAGTCAACGGGATAAGCGCGTTAATGTCGTCGATATAGGCATCAGCACCCCGAGGGAACATCGTGCCACCCCCAGGGAACCGAAACCGGTCACCCTCTACCTGTATCCAATTCTGAATAGCCTTCTCAACGCTGAGCTCCTTGTGAGGGATGTTATCGTACCAAGCGTAGTCTCTGCTCTGAGGCCACTTAAAAGGGCTCTTATACTTCGGGGGAGCAGGAATCAGGCATCGAATCGTCTCATCATCGCCCGGGCAATGCCTTTCTCTATATACCAACATGTTCCTATCGAACCTCCGCCCCCTCGTCGTGTCCTGGCAAGGGGTATACTCGCTGAAATTCATCGCACAAGCCGGGAAGCCTTGGCCCGACGAGACGATGGGGGTGTCGTTGACATTGAGCTGGTGATGGGCTTGGAAGTCGAGAGCCACGTTGTTGTCGGGCGATACGGACCCGGGATCGATACCGGAAGATCCGGTGTCGGGCTGGGAGGTGGCTACATTGTCGCAATCAACTTTGTTAGATAAGTTTGAATTTGGGTCGGGTTTGGGGATGGTGTTGTTTTGCCAGGAACCGAGAACGTAGAAGAGGACGCAGAGGCCGCTAACCCCAAAAACGTAAGTGAGGCGCTTCTTTCGGTTCTCCAGTTGGTGGAGCTTCGGAGATCCACCATGGTCTTTGGCCATTTTAATTACCTGAAACAAACAAAGCAAAGCAAACGGCGCGGGAATCAGAACAGAGGAAGGAGCTCCGCGATCGTGTATGTCATCGATTACAACCGTACGCACATAATAAACTGAACTTAGTTAGTCAGTAGCATCAAATTACGATTACCGTTTATCCGTTCCAACAACTAGATATCTCGAATCAAAACTTCCGACGCAATAATAACATAAAGGGTGGGGAAAAAAGAAGAAGGAGAGGATGAGAACGCACACCGACTGAAACCGTTCTTATCCAAATGTGGGTTTTGAAAAATAACAAGGAGACTTGATTACCCCTCCATCCAAATATGGGTTTTGAAAGAGGAGGCAGAAGCGAGAGGGACAGGGATAAAAAGCACACTAAAAATAACGGGGTCCATCAAAATGTCTGTTGCGTACGAAAGGGAACAGGGATTGGATTGGATTGGATTGCACATCAAATGATTAAGAGTCATCTAGTGCTTCAGGGAGGAGGAATACACTCCCTCTCCCTCTCTCTCTCTCTCTCTCTCTCTTCTCTCGGGGTGAAGGGTCTCTGTCCAAAGCTAAACTCCAAGCAAATTTCATTTAATAAACGTTTTTCATCTCAAAAATCACCATCTGAAAATTACACTGACAGGACGTAGAAAAAGCAATTTACACTAATATATACATATTCATCTCCCAAAGGGTGATAAAAGACAAGAAGACCAATGGCAGAGGAAAGGAATTGAAAAAAAGGCAATCGGCGCGCATGGGCAACCACTAAAGAAGCCATTAAACAAATTAAAAACTAGAAGGGAGAAAGAAAAAAAAAAACCCATCAGAGACTACAAACAGATGTACCTGTTCAGGCTTCAATCTTGAATCTTCTTCGCTTCTATTATATTAAATTAAAAAAATACTAGTATTAGCAAGCTCCTGTGTAAAGTGGTTGTGTTGGGCTTTTGGAGGAAGATTCAGAACTATAAAATTCCATCTTTATCTTTGTTTTCTATGTCTATTTTCCCCCTTTTATTATTGTTGTTCTTATTTTTTGTGAATAATTTGGTGGTCGGGAAAAGGTTAGGATTTGGTCTAAAGTGGCAAGTGACAGGAGTCTGGGAGAGAGGAAAATTAGGAGTTGGATTAGCCTTGAGCTTCTCTCCCTTCCAACTGATAAGTTGTTACCTCAAATTTAGTTATTTCTGATTATTTATAGGATTTTTATTCTTATTATCTTGGTATTTCTGGATTTTGAAAAGCCAACAGCTTCAGAAGTAGAAATTAATTTTGAAGTACCGATGACATGTTTGGTAATCTTTTATTACTAAATAAATCTCTCTCTAATCTGAAAAAAAAGGAATTAAAACTAATATGGGTAAATAAAATTGTAAATAAAATGAACTTTTGATAGGGTAATATGGGTACTGTAGGGATTAAAAATGTAATTAATAAGGGTCCATAATTGGATTTAAAACTAATTGTTTATCTTTGTCTCTACTGCACTTTCCATCTAGCCACTTCCGCTCTTATTTTTATACTGTTTCATGTTTGATATAATATGGAACTTTTCGATCCTCTCTAATTATATGGTAATTAGAGAGTATCTAATTACTCCAATTGTTATGGGTCTAGTCCAAAATAAGGCATACATGAGGTCCACATGAATTAAAATTTTATCTAGAAGAGAATTTGGAGGATCTAGTTGTAAAAGGAATAAGTTTGAAGAATTCTATTTATGAGAACCCTGCAATTTTTTTGGAGCAACAGTAACCATGAATAGTAACCCGAGAGAAAAAAAGAAGGGGAGAGAGAGAGAGAGAGAGAGAGAGAGAGAGAGAGAGAGAGAGAGAAGTTTAGATTTCGGATAGCTCGATTGTCCATAAGTGGAAGTCGTCAGGTTATAACTGTGTGAACGCAGCTTCATGGAACGTGGGGGCCACCATATGCAGAGAGTTCACGAGCTAGGAGTCCACGAAGACAGCTGGGAGTCCACGAAGACGCGTTTTTCGAAGATGCGGTTTCAAAAATGCGTGAAGAGCCAGGCCAGCATCCAGCGGAGAAAGAGGCCCATGTACCCGAAACATTGCAGCTAGTATATATATCTTTGTACCTGTACCTAGGTTTTCGGGCTTGGTGAGTGCAGGAGCTCCTTTTTTGCGGCTACGAAAGAAAAGAAAAAGGAGGTGCAGGTGCGGAAGCAGAGGGAGAAAGAGAATAGGCGGCTGAGTTCTTCTTGGGCTTCGTGAATTCTATTTGGCGGCTGTTTTGTGAAGTGAGAAAAAGTATTTGAGGGTTTAGATTGTGAGAGTTGTAAACCCAGTTGTATTCTTTTTCTCTATAATAGTAGATCCCCCCTCCTTGCCCCGTGGACATAGGCAGTTTGCCGAACCACGTAAAATTGGTTTGTTTGAGTTTGTGGCCATTGTAATAGTTTTTTTGCCGAACCACGTAAAATTGGTTTGTTTGAGTTTGTGGCCATTGTAATAGTTTTTAGGATCTCTCGACGCGCAGTCCTAGAGCTGACGAGAGGAAGAGTAAATATCCCACTTTGATGGGATATTAGGCTTCAGATTCTTGTTCCCTTTGAGAAACAAGAATTCTTATCGATCTTTCTCTCTTATTGTGCATCAGAAACTCTGCCGAAATTTTCGCTGCGCACAATAATAACTTCCATCATTAGTGTTTGATAGGGATCAACTATCTGCAGTGATTTTTAGACAGCCTACAGTCAAGCTCATAAAATTGTGAATTTTAGACTTCGGGAAAATTATTTGCCTATGGGTCAAAACGACTAAATAAGGCCAATAATCAACAATTATAGCTCGTGAAATCATGAAATTTGGCCTCTAGGAAATTGTTTGCCAATGAGTCAAAACAACTAAAAATGGCCAAAAATCATGGTTATAGCTCACGAAATCGTTAATATTGGGCAGTGCAAAACTATCTGCTAATGAATTGAAATGATTGTAAATGATAAAAAAAATTTGGGTTATAGCTCATAAAATCGTGAATTTTGAACTCCGTAAAATTATTTATCAATGGGTTAAAATGACTATAAATGACCAGTAATCATGGATTATTGCTCACCAAATCTTATTTTTTGACATCCATGGAATTATGTGCCAAATGGTCGAAACGACTAATAATGGCCAAAAATCTCTTGTATACTAACGAAATCATGAAGTTTGGCCTCCGTGAAATTATTTGCCAATATATTAAAATGACTAAAAAGCGCAATAGTTGTAAGTTAAAGCTCACAATATCTTAAATTTTGGTTTGCATGAATTTTTTTTTGTTAATGGGTTAGAGCGACTAAAAATCATGTGTTATAGCTCATGAAATCGTGAAATTTAGAGTTTATCAAATTATTTTCCAATTAGTAAAAATGACTAATAATCATGGATTATAGCTCACTAAATCATGAATTTTGGCATTAGCTAAATTATTTGCCAATGGGTCCAATGACTAAAAATGGCCAGAAATTATGGTTATAGTTCATTAAATCGGTAATTTTGGCCATAATGTAATTATTAGTCAATAGGTCGTAATGACTAAAAATGAACACTAATCATGGTTTATAGCTTACAAAATTATGAATTTTGCCTTCGTGAAATTATTTGCCTATGAGTCAAAATGACTAAAAATGGCCAACAATTGCGGGTTGTAACTTAGGAAATCGTGTATTTTGATCTCCATCAAATTATCTGCCAATGATTTGAAACAACTAAAAAAGGCCAATAATCATGGTTTATAGCACGCAAAATTATGGATTTTGGTTCTCGTAGAATTATTTACCAACGGGTTGAAATGATTTTAAAAGGCCAAAAACCAAGTGTTATTGCTTTTGAAATTGTTAATTTTGGACACTGTGAAATTATTTTTGAACAGCTCAAATGCAAAAAAAAAAGCCACAAATCATGAGTTATATAGCTAACATAATTATAAATTTTGGCCTCCACAAAATTATTTGCCAATCGATCAATATGACTAAAAATACCCGAAATAACATAGTGTAATTATTTACTAGTGGGTTGAAATGACTATTAATGGACCACATATCATAGGTTATAACACACGAAATAATAAATTTTGGACTTAGCCAAAATTATTTACCAATGGGTTGAGATGACTAAAAATAGCAGCAAAATCATGGGTCATAGCTCATTGTGAATTCTAGTCACCGAAAAATTATTTGCAATTGGTACCAAACAACTAAAAGTGGCCAAAAATCATGGCTTATATCTCATAAAGTTATAGAATTTGGACTCCGCAAAATTATTCCAGAGGATCGTAACTAAAGAAAAATGCTAATATCATGGGTTATATCTCATGTAATCGTGAATTTTGGCCTCCTAAAATTATTTGCCAATCAATAAAAATAAATAAAAGTGGCTAAAGTTCATGAGTTATAGCTCATGTAATCGTGAATTTTGGCCACATCGAAATTATTTTTCATAGGGTCGAAATAACTACGAATAGCCAAATATCATGGGTTATAGCACACCAAATCGTGAATTTTAGACTCCATGAAATTATTTACCAATATACCGAAATGATTAAAAATGACCAAATATTGTGGGTTATAACTCACAAAATCATGAATTTTGGCCACTATAAAATTATTTGCCAATGGGTTGAAATGACTAAAAATAGTAAAAAATCACAGGTTATAGCTTACGAAATTGACTTTTGGACTCCGCAAAATTGTTTTCTAAGGGATCATAACTAAGAAAATGGCCTAAAACCATGGGTCATAGATCATGAGATCGTGAATTTTGCCCTTTGCAAAATTATTTGCTAATGGTTTGAAAAGAATAAAAATGGCTAAAAATCATGAGTTATAATTCATGTAACTGTGAATTTTGGCTTCCATAAAATTATTGGCCAATCTATGAAAATGAATAAAAATGGCCAAAATTTATGGGTTATAGATTGCATAATCATGAATTTTGGCCACTTGGAAATTATTAGTGAAAAGGTCGAAATGACAACAAACAGCTAAAGATCATGGGTTATAGCTCATGAAATTATGAACTTCGGACTCTAAAAAATTATTTGCTAATGGTCAAAATGACTAAAAACAATGGCCAAAAATCATATGTTCTTGCTTATGAAATATCGAATTTTGTCATCCATAATTTATTTGCAAATGGGTCGAAATGACTAAAAATTACCGATAATCATGGATTATAGCTTACAAAATCATGAATTTTAGTCTATGTAGAATTTTCTACTAAATGGTCAAAATGATTAAAAAGGCAAACAATCATGTGATATAGCTCATACAATCGTGATTTTTCATGTGATATAGCTCATACACCACTTAATTATTTGTCAATGAGGTGAAATTACTAAACATATCTAATAATTTTGGGTTATAGTGCATGAAATCATGAATTTTCCCCTCCG